GGGGGGGGGGGCAATGTAGTCAGAGACATGGACACACAGGCACGGGGCAGTGCTGAGGCGATGTGGAGCAAAGCCACCGCCATATTTACTTATTACCCAATATTTACGCCATATTACCCAATGACAGATTTATGCCACTGAGAATGTCCCGGTTTTAACGCCACCGCCCTACTGCCTGTAACTAAGTATTGCAGGCAATCTTCCACTTTTGTACATGGAATGGGATTTCGGGAACAAGAGGTAAGGTTGGCAAACCTCGCATTGTGCTGTCATGTGAAGTTCATCGAGATGAACGGCTGAGCTGGATGCTGGAGTCTGTTAAGGGCTCATTCCTGGGATAAGGGGTGGGGCAAATGGGGGGAGGGGCTGTTTTTCACTCACTCTTGTTGCAATGGTGTCCGTGCCATCCGTCCCGACATTGGCACCCGTTGGGTTCTATGCAGGTCCCATGGGGGCCACAGCTTGGCTCGCAGACAGCTGTGAAACATGTACACACACACACACACACACACACACACGCACACACATACACATGCATTTCCCAGAAAGTTCCAATGTGACATCATCACCTGTACCCTCTGTTTTACACGCATGTATCCTGCAGATTTCCTGCCACCCCCCCACCTGTACAGCTTTGGAGGGTAAAACTTACAACCTCACTCAGGCTTTTCCTGGGCCCAGAGAAACATGATTCTCACTAATTCTCACACACTTTAACTTTAGGGAAGTTAAAGACAGTACTGCAAGCCAAACAAATACAAAGGGTACACATATCTATAATACACAAAAATGTAGCTTTTATGCTTTTTTGACATATGCAATTCTGTTATTATTTATGAAGGTGAATGTATTATTTTATCTAGGTTTTCATGGAGGTCTAAGTATCCAGGTTACTATGTGAGCCCTGGACAGCAGCACCACGGACCATGGGGGCGGACTGGGGGTCGGGGCCTTACCCTTGGAGCAGATTTCGCCATGGAAACCCTTGGCACACTTGCACTTGTTCCTCCCGCCACACTTTCCGCCATTCAGACAGGGCTGGCTGCAGCGGCCTGCGGGCACGACACGACATATGTTGGTGCTAGAACTCATGAAGACGGCCCTGCGGCATCCAGGTACCTGATCGACTTTTGAAGGGAAACCTAAGTGGAGAAGAACTGAAACAATCAGAGGATGGAGTTTAACAGCACTGACTTCCACAAGCTCTGATCCAGGCCCGGTGAGCCAGGCGTCCAGCCCATGACCTCAGGACCCCTGGGTAAGTGATGGGGTTCCGGCCCGTTTATTTCTCCATTTATCAAAGTCCTACTCTTTTAACATTCATGTGAGTATCACTCCAAAAAAAAAAAAAGGCTGCATGAAAATATCCTGCATATTGTCTCAGTTACTAAGGGACCAGCATGTTGTGAGAGTCAAAATGGGTCACACTACAGACATGAGGCTTTAAAGTGAATAACTCCCATCCATCCATCCATCCATCCATCCATCCATCCATCCAATTGTGTATCTAGTACAGGGTTACGCTGAACCTGAAGTCCACCCCAGGAAGTGCTGGAAACGCCCTGGACTAGATGCCAGCCCCGTCGCAGGGTTTATACACAACCACACTCTACTGGCGATTGACAGACAGACACCAGTTCTCCCAGCTGAAGGAGGGAACTGAAATCCCCGGAGGAAGCTCGCAGGACCATGGGGAAAACTGCACACACACGAAGCCAGGGGAGGTAATCGAACCCACGACCCTGGAGGCGAGAGACCGGTACCAATCTCTAGTTTCTCCTTTAAAAAAACACAGGAAGTCCTTTGTGTAATCTGTCTCCAGTTAATAATTGCATCAATTTAGTTGTTTGACCCTGAGGCTAAAAAATAACCAAGAATCAATGTGAAACAATGGGGATTGGGGGGGGGCAGGGGGGCACACCGGCGGTGTTACATCCAGCACGCAGACTAAACTGAGAGTGGGCGGGAGGTATTGATCGGAGCGTCATGTTACACCTGCATATTTCATTAAGGCATATTACGTTTCAATAATCAGGTTATGTTTTGTGTCCCAGTGAAATGTATATCCGTGGAAAGCGGCTACAGTGGGCAGTTTAAACCCCCTGCGAGACGAAAGGCCCCCGCTGCCCATACGGGGCATACGCACACTTCCGAGGGGCTTGCTGAACGCTCCCGGCCATGGAGTAACCCATTTATTAAACACCAGTTCATCATTCATGACCACTGGAGCTTGTCTCCTGGCCAGATTTTAAATTAGGAAGCTCTTTATGTATGATTCGGTTGACGTAACACCTGTTTGGGGGGCAGGGTGTGGCTCTGTGCCTGTGATTGGAAGGTCACTGGTTTGAATCCCATGCTTGTCAGAATAGTCACGTCGTCACTGGGCCCTTCAGCATGGCACTTAACCTCTGCTGGATAAATGACTCACTGTGTGCTCAGACCCCAGACTTCACCTGCATGTATGGGAGCAAGACTAAAGCATGTACCGTACAAATAAAGCATCATGTTGCCCAGCGCATGCATTCGCAGCTTTTAAATAGTGCTGTATACTTCGCTGTTGACACCTTTTCTTTAAGTTAACGAGTGCTCCGTCTTTGGGTGAGGGACTAGCGAGTCCTCCATCGTGTGTAAGATGCTGTAGAGGAGAATTTCCATGCAATGCCGATATTTAATGAAGCTTTTTGCAGAAAACAGCATCAGCTGCACCCAGGAAACTGGCCCTTTGGCTTCTGAAAACAAACCACAAAATGTTTATATGTACTGATTTGTTTTCTGAATAGGTTGCATTTTTTTAATTCAATTTAAATTCAGTTTTTATATAATCCCTTTCAAAACACAGTAGCCCCAAGGCCCTTAAGAAGAGTGTGTGGCAATACAGTATTAGTTCATGTATACAAAATAGCATCCCCAATATGACCAGTATCACCAGTTGCCCGATGACTGTCTGTCAGTCCTTGGATTCCCCTCTGTACCATGTAATCTATTATTTTTAATAAGCAAGAAGGGTTACACATTGGTGCTGTTTACCCGATGATCCAGCCTTGGACAGTTATGCAGAGCACCTGGTCCTTAGAATGCAGGGAGCCCCGGTCTGCTGCCCCCACCAGAGTGGACAGTAAGGGTCACGTGACCGCAACGGCTGCATACTCACTGATCTCGCAGTGGTTGCCCCTGTATCCGGGGGGGCAGATGCACTTGCCCGGATGGAAACAGGTGCCCCCATTCAGGCAGGAGGTACTGCAGTTGGCTAGAGGAGGACAACAGTAGTAGGACTTAGACCCATTAACACGCCCGTGTCTTGGCTGAAAAACCTGAACCTCAAGGCCACAAATCAAGCTCCTTACTCATAGCGCCCCCTACTTGCCGACCCCACGCACCATCACACCGAAACACTGACTCGAACCTTACACCCAATTACAATTAAATACTGTACCTTTCTCACAGCTGGCACCGTAGTAGCCGGGGGGGCAGATGCAGATGCCAGGACTTACACACAGGCCGCCATTCAGGCACTGAGGGGAGCACAGGGCTGGGGGGGGGATGGGGAATNGGTCAGTTTACCTCACAGACAGAGCAGGAAATTGCCTGTCATACATGCTGCTACAGCAAATGCGTCGATCCTTCATGTGCTGCTTTCACGTAAATCCACCCCAGGGGCCAGCAAGATATCAGGCAGAAATATAATCCCGTGTCTGCCCTGCAGAGGGCGTGGGAGGACTGTGTTACGTTTCAATTCCAACACAATATCCACGTTTCATGAATGCTGGCTGAGGCTTGTTGGAGCTGCACTCTGAAACCAAACACTTCCTATAGATAAGTACCTGCATACACCGCAAGGGTAACTAATGAGTGAAGGGACAGCGATCTTTAATTATGTAGTGAGGTTAGCTGGAGATAAACAAATGTCGAATGTTCACATTTTGCATGTATGATGTTAATATGAAGGTTACTGCTGCTCTGTTTTGTAGTCAGCAGTGAATACACTATATTTATACTATAGCTCAAGTCACATTTAAATCAGCCAGGAAAAAAAGATTCATCAGAAACAGAAGCTGAGAGTTTTATCATGTTGTAATGCCTTTGCTACTTGAAGAATATGATGCTATACTTTAGTCATTTAGAAGACACTTTTGACCAAAGTGAAGTAGGAGTGAGGGGCAGAGAGCAGGTTCAGCCAGTGCCCCCAGAGCGACTGGGGATCAGAGCCAAGGGCCTGACAGTGATATGAGTATTTTGCCAGCCACAGGATTTGACCCCACATCCTTCCAGACATGAGCACAGATCCGTGCCCACTGAGCTGGAGCTGCACATCCCCCCCAAGACATGACCAGGTTTCCTGCAGAAGACTGTTAAAAAAAGAACCTCGTCTGAGTGGTTGGGCCCTGGGGCAGCGATGCTTTCACGCTCCGTCAGGTTCACGGTCCCCCGGGTCCACACTCACCTTTCTCGCAGTGCGGTCCGTAAAAGCCGTCCTGGCACTCGCACACCTGCCTCTCATTGCAGAACCCTCCGTTCCGACAGCCACCCGGGCACTTGGCTTTAAGGAAAGGGGTCAAAGGGCAACAGAGTGCAGAGGTGAAAGTTCAGGGTTATTTTCCCAGAAGGCCACAGTGACAAGAGCATCAGACACACACTGCTTTACTGCATATTGCTCTGATGAATGTAACATTGACAGTGCACAATTTTTCTTTATATACAACTTTTCTTTTTATATATATATTTGCACCTGGGTTTTCAAACAGCATTTTTATAACCACAGAACCAGTGTTTCAGAAACTGGAAATATCTGGCTCCAAATATAGCCCAGCTTTGGTCCTGTCTGCAGCCAGGGGTCCTACCTAAATGTCCTGGAAGCTCAGGCTCAGTTGTTTACATGCCCTAGAAAAAGCTGCAGTCCTTGTCCTGCCAACCTAGTGGGTGAAGGACCTTCTCTGCCAGCCGTGCTGCCCAGCTGCACTGACAGATAAGCAGCAGACCTTCGCCGGCTGGAGAATCTGGCTCATTAACGAGGGCCGCAGATGCCGTGTGCGTGTGGCAGCCTCTCGTCTCGGCCGGGATTTGGACGTATCCGGTGCTATGGTCGTTAAAGGTAATACTACCTGTGTGTCTCAGTAGGGTAACCTGAGCAAGAGATTGAGTCCAGATTTCCATAAAGTTATAAAGGCAGGAAAGTGAAAATAACATTCATTTTAATTAGGGTAATCTCCTAAGTGAATAAATGATTCATAATATCCCAATACTTATATCCTAAGTATCTTTTTAATTGACCTATATACCCTTAACCCTTAAGGTTGTGCCTTGCTCGCATCAGAAGGGCTCCACCCAGGACTTGAACTTGAAGCACTGAAGTCCATAACCTTAACTACAATGCCACCTTCTGGCCAGATATAATATTGCATAACCCAGATCAGAGCGTGGCTATGTGCTGAGTCGGGTTCTGGATGTGGGAAGAGGCTGCTCTGGTGCCCTGCAGGTGGCGGTGTTGGGCTGCTGCCCAGGGGACATATGCAGCTTCTGCTAAACAAGCATTGGCTGGATGGGGGGAGAGCATTTCCCATGTTCCCTTGGTGGCTGCAGCTGGCAGAGTTCACATGACATCACCAGCTTGCTGAGGGCCCCACGGACCTCAACGTACATCTGTGCTGAGCCACAGCCCAACCCTCAGCAGAGATCAGGGCCGTGAGCCCAGGAGCAGCGGAGGTGGGGCGATGACAGGTCCTTGCCACACAGCTAACACTTCCCCATGAAGTGGTTGGAACACTATTGTGGCCTGTGTCCCCCCCCCAGCCCCGCCCACGACCACTGCCCTTCTGATCACTGCAGAGGTGCTCAGCCGCTTTCTATAAGGCAGTGATGTTCAGGTGAAAGTGGGGGGGGGGGGGATTCCCCTGTTCCCCAAATAAGGAAAGACCCCCCCCACCGTGAGGGTGACACTGGGGGGGGGGGGGGGGGGGGGCCT